CATATTTTAATTAGGATTCCTTTGAATTTATGAATAAACTTTATAAGCATTGATGTAATCTCAATACTGAGTTTTCCTGTTCAAAATTATGATTTATCTTTTTATTTAATCTTGAATCTCAATGGAATAATATTGAAGTTTTTTTTTGTATTGGTCCTCAACATTACCTAAGTTTTATATCTAGGAATTTTTATCTCTTTTTTTCCCTACTAAAAATTGGATTTTTACTTAAATATATTTTCATATTGATTATTGTTATATATAAAATACTGCTTTTATTAATTTTTAAACAACAATTAACTAATGTTTATTTATACTTTTGTAGGATATTAGACATAATAAATGTATAATCATCAATAAAGATAATTTTTTTTCTTCTAGTTTTTACCTTCTTTCTATATTTTGTCAAGATTTGTGGGCCAGTGAAAACTGGCTATAAAAACATTAAAAATAGTGGTTAGACTATGCAACTTAATTTTTAACTTTCAAACAGTCAGTCACTTTTAGTCCATGTTTGTGGTTCTTTAGGTAGTATAACTCTATCAACGGCATAAATGTATTTGTAATTGTATACCTTTGATTTTTTATTCCAGCCATTACCAGCATCTACAGTCCTGTCTTGCCCTAGCCAGTTTGGCTCAGTGGATAGAGCTTCAGCTTGAGGATTGAAGGGTCCTGGGTTCAATTCTGGTCAAGGGCATATGCCTCAGTTGCAGGCTCAATTCTCACCCTGTTGGGGTGCATGCGGGAGGCAACCAATTGACGTGTCTCTCTAACATCAATGTTTCTCTCTCTCTGTCTCTCCCCCTCCCTTTTACTCTCTCTAAAAATCAATGGAAAAATATCCTCAGGTAAGGATTAAAAAATAAACAAACAAAAAGAACCAACACAAACATACAATCCTATATTAGTTATGGTCCTCTCTACATTAATTATTAATAATTAATAATAGCCCAAACCGGTTTGGCTCAGTGGAAAGAGCGTCGGCCTGCGGACTGAAAGGTCCCAGGTTCGATTCCGGTCAAGGGCATGTACCTTGGTTGCGGGCATATCCCCAGTAGGAGATGTGCAGGAGGCAGCTGATCGATGTTTCTTTCTCATCGATGTTTCTAACTCTCTATCTCTCTCCCTTCCTCTCTGTAAGAAATCAAGAAATATATTTTTTAAAAAAATTAATAATAGGTGACTTGAATTTATCAGACATTCCCTACATCCTTAGCTTCTCTTTTAAAAATACATATATTTATTTCAGAGAGGCAGAGAGAGGGGAGAGAGAGATAGAAACATCAATGATGAGAGAGAATCATTGACTGGCTGCCTCCTGCACACCCCACCTTGGGGATTGAGCCTCCAACATGGGCATATGAATGGAATCGAACCTAGGACCCTTCTGTCCGCAGCCCAACACTCCATCCACTGAGCTAAACCAGCTAGAGCTATCCTTAGCTTCTTTTTTTTTCTTTTTCTAGCCATTATGTCCAGCTTGAAAGGACTTATTGGTGGATCCACCTTAATTGATTTAGAAAATTTAAGAATGTTACTTATACTCATACCCTTGATTTGATCCTTCACAGAGGCTGAGTTTTAATTGAACTTCTTTATCTGTTGGAAATGAAGAAAAAGTTGCATCATCTAATCCCAGTACTTTTGGATGTGGTCTATTTTACTTACTACTTGGAAACTGGCCAATTCTTTTCACCTCTTATAATACCTTGTTAAATTAAGGCAATACCAGTCAATTCATGATACTAACATTGTTTTCTCAGTTCTTTACTCTAGCTATAAGTTCATTTGATGCATCATTTGCCTTTGCAAGTTATTATAAGAAAATTTTAAATAAAATATTCACCACAGCATTACATGAATAAATATTTTTCCAACCTCCAATAACTTTTTCACTGCTCACTACATAACCCCTTAAACAGTGCCATATATATTTTTTAATATTGATGTTTTGGCAGCCTCCTCTTTCTACTATACCAATTTTTTTTTAGTTAATTTAGGCTACGCTATACTGCAGTAACAGATGACCCAATGGCTCAGTGGCCAACACAAGAACATTTATTTGTCTTTCACATTACATGCCCATTGTGGATAAACTTTACCACATTTGCTACTAATTACCTTTAAACCTTGACCAGAACTTGGCTAAGTATAATGTGTTTGGGTCACACTTTCTTGTGTTTTATATTTTGTAGATACTATCTCAATATTCCCAACCATTTTGTTCAGTAAGTTTCTCTGCTCCCCTTTCTCTCCCCAGTCCCCTTAACTGCTGGATGTTAATATGGCTGACATGCCTTTTTATTTTACTAAAAAATCTTGCTTATGTACATGAAGGTACATATTTTATGTACATAGTTTATATTTTTTTGTCCCAATGTTGATGAATATGCTCCTGGAGTCCTCGCTGTATCTGAGCCTTGTTTGTCATTTCAGGAAATTCAAGTTTGAACGTTACGTCTCTTATAACTCCTAGGCAGAGAATGGAAGTCTTAGCTGGGACTTTGCTTAGTCTTAATAGAAAGTCCTGGTTTGCCCCTTTCTTCTGTAGTTTTATCAAGTATTTAATGCCCAGCTAAATTCCATTTTGTCAACTAGATCTTAATCTAGCCTAGTTATCTCATTTCAGCCTTCTGAAGAGTTACCTTCAGTTGTTCTCTTCAATTTCTTTTCTCTCTCTAGTAACTTAAAAAAATCTTTATTGTTGAAAGTGTTACTGTTCTGCTTTTTCTTTAACAACTTTTACCATTCCCTCCTGCTTCAAACAAAATGAAAAAAAAATATATTCAAAAGATAGTTTTGGTTCTTGTATTAGGAGTCTACATGATAGAGAAAGAAAATCATCCAGTTTTATTATGTCTCTTGGTGGCTCCTTAAATTCTTTTGTCCTTTTCTTTTATCCTCTGCTTGGCTAAGTTGTTGGGTTTTGGGGATACAAGGTTGTGGATGAAAAAGGGAATCCTATATAATAAAGCCCTAATATGCAAATTGACCAACATGCTGAATGACTGGCAGAACAACTGGTCACTATGACGCACACTGACCGCCAAGGGTCAGACGCTCAACACAGAAGCTGCCCCTGATGGTCAGTGCGCTCCCACAAGGGGAGTGCTGCTCAGCCAGAAGCTGGGCTCACAGCTGGCAAGAGCAGCGATGGTGGCGGGAGCCTCTCCCGCCTCCGCTGCTGGCAGGCTGTAAAGAGCAAGGGGTCCCGGACTGCAAGAGGGATGTCGGACTGCTGGCTTAGGCCCGATCCCCCTAATCCAGCAGGTGGGCATTCCCCAAGGAGTGCTGGACTGCGAGAGAGCACAAGGCGGGCTGAGGAACCCTCCCTCTCAAGTGCAGGAATTTCATGTACCGAGCCTCTAGTCTGATAATAAGTCTGACCAAAATAACCTCACAGGGTGATCTGATCACAAATGCCTAACTGTGTAGATCATGGTGGAAATCAAGCCCCAACCCTGTTAAAAGGTTTATCTTTGCCTTAAGCAAGTCCTGTCCATTGTTCTTGTGCATCTGGTTAACACACCTTTGAAATGCCAGAGTAGTCTCTTTTTTAGACCCCTGGGTGTCATGACCACCCTTACTGGAACACATGGTATTGTTAACTGACTTGTTCCTTGCTTACCTCCTAATTCCAAATGTACAAAAGAAACTGCAAAACTATCATTTTCTGGAGCATTTGAGATCTTGATTCCTGGTGTGTTGTCAGCTTGGCTTAAATAAACTCATAAAAATATTTCTTATGTTGACAAACTCTAGAATATATGGGCTTTTACTGGGTCTTCTCTCTCTCTGACACACAAACACATACACGCACACAGACATACTCCAGATTGTTTTTAATCTCTGGTGAAAAATTAGTCAAGGGTAAACTCTCTCTTTCCCTTTTTCTCTCTAAAATAAATAAATAAATAAATAAATAAATAAATAAACACCTAGCTTTCTAAAAAAAATAAAATAAAATGTAGATTTTTAAAAAATTATATTCCTGTTTATACTGAAAAAAAAAATAGATCCCTTCCCAAACTTCAAAATGCAGTGGCATAAATGAGAAAGATATTTTTTATGTAATTCATTGTCTAAGAATTCATTCAGGGGCTCATGTTTTCTCCTCTTTTTGTTCTAATCTCTCTTAGCATGTTTTCTTCTACATAGTCAAGGCTATAGCACTAGTCACTATCATATATGCATTCTAATCTGATGGGAAGAATGAAAGAAAAGTTATAGCAATAATTTCCTTTTAATCAATGATGTAGAAGTTGCATATCATAGTGCTATATACATTCTATTAGCAAGAATTTAGTCACATGGCTGTTGCTAACTGTAAAGGAGATTGGGAAATATAGTCTTTAGTTGGGCAGCTATGTGCCCAGATACAAATATATTTTATAGAGGCCCATTGCACGAATTAGTGCATGGGGGGTTCTGGCTGGCCCGCCCTGATCGAGGTGGGGGGCCGAACAGGGGTGGGGCTGGCCAAGGGGAGGGGCCATGGGCAGTTGGCCGGCTGGCCCTGCCCCCTGGTCGAACTCCCAGTTGAACTCTGGGTCAAACTCCTGGTTGAGGGGACAATTTGCACATTAGCCTTTTATTATATAGGATGGTAAAAGGTGAATAGATTTGTTATTTAAGAAACATCCAAACCTGTAGCAAATTTTTATAAGTTTATTTGAGCCAAACTGACGACATATGCAAGAGGACAAGATCTCAAATGCTCCCTACTATAACAGTTTTACAGCTTCTTTTTTGCATTTGAAATTAAGAAGGGAACATAAGGAAGATTGCATGCAGGTGGGAGAAATGAAGGTGGGGATTGGATTACAGGATAAATGAACATTAATCTTTCAAAAATAGAGGGCTTTAATGTAGATATGCATTTAACTGTTCACAATTTTATTTTCAATGGATTTTGGAAAGAATAATGTTGAAAATATATGCTGTTATTTTTTAGGCTGAAATGTGTTTTCTTTTATTAATTTCAGTTTTATTTTCAGGGTGACCGTGGACTTCCTGGTTTTCCTGGGCTTCACGGAATGCCAGGATCAAAGGTTGAAGAAATTCTTTTTAAATTCAGCAATGCCATATATTGTTTCAGATTTCAAGCTTTATATCACAAATGTGTTATAAATAAATGCTCATATATAAAGCATTTATTTATCATGTTAAAGTAAATGATTAAGTTAAGATTAATATAGTTCATAAGGCTTTTCCAACATTCTTTAAAATTTCCAGTCATAAATATTGAAATGTTTAAAATTTATGAGCTTTACTATATAGAAATTCTCTTAACTATAAGTCCTATACTGTAAGCCCTGTTATAGTATGAACTGTCCTTATTTTTCCTTGTTTTTCTTTATAAAGCCTGGAGACTACAACTTTTGTAAGCATAGTTTAAAATATTTTATTTCTATTTTATTTTGAGGTTGGCATATTAAATTCTTTTGTTTATGATTGGTATTGCTTTTTCTTTAATCTCTGAGGAAAATATTCATATATCTCTAAAATACAATATATGTATTTTGTCTTCTAGGGTGAAATGGGCCCCAAAGGAGATAAAGGATCACCTGGATTTTATGGCAAAAAGGGAAGTATTGATCACAAAACAAAGTATCCATTTTGAACTTTCAATGTAATGAAAATAGAAAACTTGAATTTGGTCCCAGCCCACCATTATAGCAATCAGTTTTATTCATATTTCTCAGGAGACTTATTAAAAACAATGAGAAAATGAAATAATAACTGGTGATTATTTTGCATGATATTCTATAAGAATACATTGTCTTATTGATCATTTAGAACTTTTAAAATAATTATAGGGAGAGATTCCTTGGGAGTGGGTAGCTGCATCTCCATTGACAATTGATTTATGGGCCTTCCTATTTCTCCACATTGAAGGAAGATTATATTCTCTGTATATTTAAAATACTCATTGCTGCCTACCGGTGTGGCTCAGTGGTTGAGAATTGACCTATAAACCAGGAAGTCATGGTCAGGGCACATGCCCAGGTTGTAGGCTCATTCCCCAATGTGGGTCATGCAGAAGGCAGCCAATCAATGATTCTCTCTCATCTATCTCTTCCTCTCCCTTACTCTCTGAAATCAATAAAAATATATTTAAAAATAAAAATAAAATACTCATTGCCTTTCTAATTTTTCCAAGATGTGGCTTCTGTGTTTTGATGCTTGTAATAATTCTGCATCCATCAATATTTTCAATGTCTGTTTTGTCCACTGGCCTGATAAAATAATACTCCACCAATAAGCTGCAAAGCCAAAACAAATAGTAGTTCCATGAATTCTGTCAACCCATTATGAGGTTAACTTACTTTCCTACTTAAGTTTGAGTTGGAAGTTTAAGAGAGTATTGTAAGGATTGTTTTTTAAGTGTTCTTTTTTTAATGCAGGGTGCAAAAGGTGAAAAGGGAAATGCTGGTTTTCCTGGCCTTCCTGGACGTGCTGTGAGTTTGATAGAAAAAGTTCTTGCATATTTTGCTTTGAATAAAAATTATCTGATAGTATATTTCTTTAAAAATTGTTGCAAAATATATTAAAATAAATGTATTTATTTTTCAGGGAGAACCAGGAAGACATGGAAAGGATGGATTAATGGGTAGTCCTGGTTACAAGGTATTTACACAAAGAATAAAACAACTTATGTAATTTATGAATGTACATTAGAAAACTGTACCAATAATAGACTTCTCCTATGACACTGGTATAAAATTAATGAGATAAAAGTTATTTCACTGTAATTTAAAAATCATACTACATTTACTTTTGACTCTATAGTGAATTCTTATTGTTAGAAATAAAACTTCAGGATATTAAAAGTTGATATCTTTGAAAAGCCATTCTGATGGGTTTGTTTGGTTGGTTAGAGGCTTAAGTTCTTAGCTCCGTCTCCTAATAGTTTCAGGTTTCAGAACAATTGAATGTTTTTTAGTATATTTTCAGTTATGCAATCACCACTAGAGTCTAATTTTGAAACATTTTCATCACCTCAAAAAGAAACCTTATATACCCATTAGCAGTCACTCCCTATTTTTACCCAAGCTATTATTCCTCCATTTCCAGGCCTATGCAACCTCTAACCTACTTTCTGTCTCTCTGGATTTGCCTACTCTGAAGTCCTTCAGCCCATTGGATAAGTCCCATCCACATTATGAAGGGTAATCTGTTTTACTCAAAGTTTACTGATTTAAACATTAATCATATCTTTAAAAACTCCTTCAGAGCACTATCTAGACTGGTATTTGACCAAATATCTGGGCACTATTGCCTAGTCACATAATATTAATACATAAGCTTATTTTGTTGACACATAAAATTACCTATCACATATGACATGACTCTTTACTCTTTCAATCTAAAGGTGACCCCCTTTTTTTATTGTATCAATATTAAAAATATTGTCTGAATGTTTCTTTATGATTGCATTCAGGATAAACATTTTGGCAATACAATATAGGTGATAACTTATGCTTTCTATTACATTCCAGTAGGTGGCACATAATATCTGTCCTATTATTGGTAATACCAAATTTGATCACATGGTTAAGAAAGGGAAAATAGCCATGTATGTTTTTGTGTTTATTTTATCCATGGAATATTTCTAATTTGTCTAGGTCCTATTTAAATGTCTCTAAAATTTTTAATAGTTTCCTTTATAAAGGTGTAGCATGTATTTTGTTAGTTTTCCCAAGTGTATAATATTATTGATGCTATTGTAAATAGTGTCATTTTATAGCTTTTATGTATAAATGCAATTTATGTATAAATAAAATTTATTCATTTTGTGTAACTACCACCAAATTCAAGTTTTAGAATTTTTGTAACCCCAAAGAATTCTCTTATTCTCCTTGGCAGTTAATTACTAACCCTACCCCTTGGCACTAAGCAACTACTTCTCTGCTTTCTGTCACTACTTATACCACTCTTATAATTTCAATGAATGTAATCATGCAGTATTTAGTCATTTGGATATATGACATTTATTATTTTCATTCATCAGTTGATAAATATTTGACTTGCTTTCTATATTTGATAGTTAATAATAATGTTGATATGAATATTCTTATAGACATCTGAGTTGGATATGTTTTAATTTGGGGGTGGGATGTTGATACCTAGAATAGCTGGGTTGTATGATGAGTACATATGACCTGTCTGGGGAAGGGTGGTGTCCTATTGGTATGATGGTATCCTATTTAGTGCCATCTTCTGTTTCATGAAGGTGTGTTTTTTTATGTTATTTGTTGCATAGATATTTATAACTGTTGCATCTTCATTTTTAATTGTGTCTTTAGCACTTTAAAATTCCATTTTCTGTCTCCTTTATTAATTTTTAGCTTGAATTTGGCATTGAATTATAACAGGATTACATTTCTCCTTTCTGATCATCTTTATTTGCTTACTAGACCTCTGCCTGTCCTTCTATCGTGTTAGCATTAGCTCTTGGAATCTCTTTATTTTAGTTGTTTCTCATGCCCAGCATAAAGTTGATCTCTGCTTTTTCAAAGCAATCTGAAATATTTTTCTTTTAGGAGATTAATTGAATCTATTTTTATTCCTAGGCTAATAGATTTGGTCTTTGTCATACTACTGATGTTAGAATTTTGTTATACTTACTACATTCATTATCTTATATTTATTATGCTTCTTTCTCCATCTGGTCTGTTGTTTTCTTTGGGATTTAGGAAGATTTATATGTATTTTTTTCTAGTTGTCTTCCTCCCCCCGCTAAGTTTTTTTGAGATATTTGACATACAAAACTATGTAAGTTTAAGGTATACAGCATAATGATTTGACTTACATATATTATGAAATGATTACCACAATAAGGCTAGTTAACATCCATCATATAGATATGAAAAAGATAAAGAAAAGAATATTTTTCTTGGGATGAGAACTTTTAGGATTTATTGTTTTAACAACTTTCAAATATACCATATAGCAGCACTAACTACGAATGGTCTTTATATTAATGCCTTTTGTAGATTATAAACACTTCAGAATTCCCTTAGTCCCCCTTTACCTTACTTAGGCATCTAATATTTGTTTTGTTTTGTTAACTTTAAATGATAACCATGTTATCTATGTTACAATTAATGAATTTACTCTACTCTCCCCTTTCCATTCTCCTTATTTGTTTAATTATATCACTTCTACTTTTTCAGATCATATAATATTTAGAAACTATTTTTCTAGTCTTTGCTCACCTTTCTTTCAGATCAGCAGTTAAATATATTTAGGATTCATCACCAGCCCCTTGACCAATATTTAATAGTCATAATTTAAGTCTGATGAAAATTCTCTATGACTGTATTCCTTATATAGGGCTTGCAAATACAGTATTCTCTAAATTCTTATATTGTAACATATTCTTCTATATTCTTGTTACTTGAATGACAACTTAGCTAGCTATTATCTCACCTTTTTTCCTTGAATTTCTTGGAAATGTTGCTCCACTACTGTCATGTACATTACTGATGCCAGCCTAATTGTCTTTCCTTTGTAAGCGGCTTTGTGTTTTTGTATGGAAACCCAGAGAGTTTTTAATTTTTAACTTAATGTTTAAGGTCCAATAGCATAATTTATGTATCAGAATTAAGAATTTCAGGTATCCCAAAATACTTTTAATAAGTAGATTCAGTGTTTCTTGTATTCTTGTAATTCTGGAATGTCCTCTCTTTTAGTTTTAAATAGAATTTTTTTTTTACATTGTTTTGGTTTATAGGTGTGTTGAGACTTCTTTGGCTGTCTTCTGTCTCTTTCACTTTCTCATCCTTTTTATCTTTTTAAAATTTTTATTTTTATGGGCTATGTTTAGTTTCCCCTTAATCCCTTTTTAAAAAATATTCTTACCTGAGGATATGTTTTTATTGATTTTAGAGAGGGAGGAAGTGGGGGGAAAGAGAGAGAAACATCAATCAGTTGCCTCCTGTACCTGCCCTGATCTGGGATCAACCTTCAACCTAGGTATGTGCCTAACCTGGAATCAAACCCACAGCCTTTTTGGTGTATGGGACGATGCTCCAACCAACTGAGCCACCCAGCCGGGACTCTCCTCAGTGCCTTTTTAAATTTAAAATTAAATCTATTTCCCTTTGGTTTCTAGTAATCATATATATCCAAGATGATTTTGTCTTTTCAATTCACTTTTTGAATTAATTTCTTATTTTATATAATTATTTTTTAACATCTGAAAATGCTTGTATATTGTTAATCTAGGCTGAAGCACTTTTTTACAAGTTTCTTCTGCTTTGTGTTTATTTTTGTGTGAGGGAAGCTTACTGGAAAGTTTTGATTTTCATTTTATATTTTCTGTTTCAGTAGTTTTGTTTGGGTATTGTCTGCCAATTCTTTGCAGTTTGAAATGTCATGTATATTTAGACTTGCAATAGTAGGCAGGATGTAAAAGTTTGAGTGGCTTGCTAGTCTTCTTAGAGTGTATCCTTTTTTATGTATAGTGAAGTTAGAAACTACTTTAAACAATGGAATTGTTTACTGGAAAGTGTTTGCTACATCTTCTGTTGAGGGGGTGGAGAGGTGAGAAGTATAATGTGTTCATTTAAGAGTCTTGTGGCACATCCAAGAGTAGAAGGCCAGCAAGTAGTTAGATCTAGGTTAGAGCTCCATCTCATTTGGAATGGGAAATGAATGGGATATTGAATAGAGTTGGAAGATTATCTTAGATTGTATGAGGGACAACGATTTCACTGTAAAAAATGCAAATGCAGCCCTAGCTGGTTTGGCTCACTGGATAGAGCGTTGGCCTAGGGACTGGGGGGTCCCAGGTTCGATTCTGGTCAGGGGCGTGTACCTTGGTTGCGGGCACATCCCCAGGGGGGGGGGGTGGTGCAGGAGGCAGGATGCTTCTCTCTCATCGATGTTTCTAACTATCTATCCCTCTCCCTTCCTCTCTGTAAAAAATTAATAAAATATATTTTTAAAAAATGCAAATGCAGGTAAGTGTATTGGTTTGGTGGCAAGATGTTTGACTTGTTTTCTTTAAAAAAAAAAATAAGTGGAAGTTGTCACCTGTTGAGAGATGGGACAGAAAGGCAATTCTTGTTGATTGGATAACTTTTATATATTTGTGTGGAAACTATGGCAGAGAGGAGATCAAGGAAATAAATATAGAAGCTGCATTGAAGTCTGGTTGAAGTTGGAAGTTACAATCTGTGTGACTATTGTACTATTTCTTCCCTCCCATGTCTATACTTGGAAGCCCAATCGTGGGTCTGAAGAGGCTTTCGGTTTGATTTCGGTCAGGCCTGGGGTTTGCATAAGCAAGTGAAGTATATGAACAGTGAGGTAAAGGGGTAAGAACTTAATTAGGGAGCAATTGAAATACTGAAACATGGCATTTAAACTGGATTTGAAAAGAAGCAAACACAGAAAAGGACAAATTATAATAAAGGACATAATTTATTGGATACTTACTATATGCCTGGCTTTTTCCCCAGCACTTTATACACATTTTCTCATTAATATCATAAATCATTATGAATTGTAAGTGAAAAAATTTTACCCTTTTACAGTTGAGGAATCTAAAGAATGGAGAGATGAGGTAATTTGTACATCATTATATAGCCATAATTTAATAACTAATGAAAATTTCTTTCACCAAATTGTTGAAAAACATAGCCAAATAATATTTTCCAAATATAGGAAATGATTAAATTATTGATTTTACTGTTTTTTATGCATTTTAGCTAGATTAAAATATCGACCTTATTTTAAAAATACTTACATTGCCTAAATTATATTGCCAAGCCACAGGAGTACAAATATAAAACATTTTAATCCTAAAACGAATCATAAAAGTAACAGACTGTGAAAACCCCAACCTTTTTGGTGGCAGTGGAGTAGCTTTTATGGACCTTCCCTTCTGTGCTTAGATCTATGCAAGGCACTTTCACAAAAATTTTTATTCTTTTAAAATATGTTTTTATTGATTTTTAGAGAGAGGGGGAAAGAGAGAGAGAAACATCTATGAGAGAGCTACCTCCTGCACGCCCCGCACTGGGGATCAAGCCTGCAACCAGGCATGTGCCCTGACTGGGAATCGAGCCAGTGATATCTTGGTGCCCAGGACAATGTCCAACCAATTGGGCAACACTGGCAGGGCAAGACTCTAATTTTTTAAGTAAAAAAAAGATCTATGAAATTGGGAATGTTAATGTCATTTCGAAATTAAGATCAGATTAAGAGAGCTTAAATAATTGACTGGAAAGTGAAGTCAGTTACATGGCAGAACTAAAATTCCAGGGCTAGTTTGTGTGATCCTGTCCATGCCTTTTGCTGTCTGAGCTTCATGTCTGTTTATATGGTCAGCCAGGAGATGCTTCCCAGCCTTATAGCTTCAGAATAACCTCTGGCACGCTAGAGATTTGTTTACATATGAAGAATAAACCACGTAGTAAGATCAAAGTCAAAATAAAGTGTTTAATAGCAAAGTAAGGATATTCCTCAAAATTAAATTGTATCATAATGGTTACACATCTTTCACCTGATTTTGAGGCTTGCCATGCTCACAAACTAAATTACTCCCCATCCTTTTATTTTTGTGTGGGTAAGGACCAAAGACCATGGCATGAAAGGCAATACCCATGCAATGCATGTTTCATATGTCTGCTTTTGGTTAAAGCGCCTTCTTAAAAATAGCTGGTTTGTTGTGGAATAAATCATCTTTGACATTAGCTGTAGAAATTGGGTTGAGGAATAATGTTTAATGTGACACTTTCTCAATTATTTATTTATTTTTATCAAGAATGAAGTTAATAAGATAGTGAAATGATAAATTAGAGGTAAAGGCATGCTCTATGCCATTTTCCACCAGCCACACAAAGGGGTGTGCATGTATCCAGTTCTCCAGGTCATGAAAGTAATCGGGCTCTGGTTACAATACTGAGTTTCACAGGTTAGTTGTGTACTGCATTTGATTATGTTAAGGAAAATGGCCAGTCAGAAATCATCATTTCATCTCCCAATGAAACATCATTAAGAGAATGAAGAGAACACTCCTAGGTAAAGATTATTGACTCTCATGTTATCATAACTAACCTTCATACTCTTCCAACTACAAATGCTATAGCCCTCCCCACAAAAGTTTTTTTTCCCATTTTATTTATCTGTTTGAAATTGAGCATTTAAGAATAAATAGGCCATTCCCTCTTCCTTGAGATTGCCTCAGTGTTTGTAAAGAAGGGGACATACAGTCTCATATATAGCCTTACATTCTGTTCAGCACTATTCTAAATATTGTGGGTGATTAAGGAAATCTCATGTGTTTTCTACTTTTAAAGAATGTTAAGTCAGGAGAATAGCACCTACATAAACAAGACACCTGTTCAACAACCTGGCCATTGTAAATTCAGTGCCAAGTGTAAAGCTGTGTAATGTCATTGCAGATCACAGAGTGACTTGTAAGAGCAGAAAGTGTGTGGAAGTCTCTATCTTGAGATCTAGGCTAGAGCAGTGGTTCTCAAAGTGTGATCCCAAGACCTGCATAACAACACCTCCTGGAAACCTATTAGAAATGGAAGTTATTGGGATCCACTCCAGACCTATAGAATCAGAAACTCTGGGATCTGCAGACTAACAAGCCCTCCAGGTGGTTCTGATGACGCTAAAGTTTGAGAATCACTGCTGCAGGTTATAAAGAATGCAACTCTTGAAAGGCAAGATCAAAATAGATCCAATAGGATCAATTTTAAAGTGAAAATAAAAATAAATATTAAAAGGATTGATGTAAACTTTGGTCAAATTTACTTGGAAGATAAGAATACTGCCCTAGTCTCATGAGTACACAGTACATAATTATTTTATAACTTAACCACCCACTGTCTTATATAGATTTACTATTTATATAGTCACTTTATGAATCGCATAATGAGTTATTTGATTCCAGGAAAAGTTAATATCAATCATCTAGGAGTAATTTTTATTTTTCCGTTTGTGTCTACTATGCTTTACTATGTAATATAATACATACAGGTATTTTGTAAGCATGATGAAAATGGAATTTTATATTTCCTCTTACTGCTAACAGGGAGAAGCGGGCCCTCCAGGTGCTCCGGGGCAGGATGGACCACGGGGAGAGCCTGTGAGTACCTTCTCAACTCAGTTCTAAGGGATGAAGCTCTTTCTCTGCCATGAAGTCTATCGACTATTTCAATTCTCTTCCCAGGTGCCCTATCCTTCTTTAGTGACTTCCAGATTTGGAAGTTGTCAAAGCTCTTTGTGGAACACTTTTAAGCAGGGAAATATTTAATCCTCTTTCACACAGGAGGGAGAATTTTGCCAGCAGGAAACTTCTGTGCAGTATGAATCACAAGCAGTCATGCCCACACCGAGTGTGTTTAGCACAACAGCATGATCTGTTGGTGAGCCGTTAGCCATTGTGACTTTGCCACTTGCTCATTGGCTTGTAGTATGCTCTCTGGGATTGTATGTTCAATAAGAATCAAGGTTAAGAAGCATAAGATTGAAAAAGTATTGAGCCTGAATCCTAGATACATGTATGTGTAGCAAGTGTGCCATATGACTCAACTTCAGATGAGGTTTGGAAATACAGTTCTTTTCCACTTTTTATTCCTTCAGCTCCAGGCCAACTTGGCCAACATTTAAATACCAGCTGATTTCCTTTTATTTGTCAAAGTTACCAATCTTTAGGGAATTTGCACTTGGTTTTGGGAGGAGTTGATTCAAGAAATGAAATAATAGGCTATCTATTGGAGTTTATCACAGTGTTCAGTGAAGGGTTCAGAATCTAATATTGGACATCAGAGGAAAAGAAAGATCACTGAAGCTTCTTCAATGGGGCGAGGGATTGAGCTACTCTTAGAATCATTCAATCCAATAGTCCTTGAATTCTCATATTGTGTATTTTGATGCACGGGGGCAAGTTTCTCTACATAGCAGGAGCTTATAATCTACTTTGGAGAATAGCGAAAAATGGGATGCAAATAATTACCAACCTGAGGCAGATTAAATTCCAAATATGGATTTCACATGGCATATGGAGGCCAGGGCTTGAAGATAGTCTCTGCCACCTTCCAGCTTTGTGAGTTTGGATAAATCACTTCACATCATTGCAAACCTTTCTCCTCTTCAAAAAGTGTACTTTCTCATATTGCCTGATTTATAGATTTCTTGTGAGGCTTACATAGGAAATGTGAAAACATTTGTGAAACCATTGCACAAATGCATGGGTTTATTCAAGATGCTGCTGATTATAGGAAGGGAATCTTGATTCATGAAGTGATTGAAACATTTTACCAAGGATTTAGGGCTAGATTTAGTCACAAAAGGGTGACTGGGAAAGAAAGGAAGATAAGAGGAAGAACTAATATGAGAAAAGACACACAGGTAGGTTGGTTAAGGGTGTCCCCATGAAATAATGAAATGATCTTAAAGAGGTCCTGTGAAGGGTCCTTGTTGGTTGGTGGGAAGTAAAATTAGTAAGGTGATTAGGCTCATAGTATGGAGATCCTAGAAAGCAAACTTTATTCACTTGCCTTGAAAATGGTCTAAGAAAACAAGAATAACATGATAAAAAGTAGTGCTTTAGAGGCAGTTATGACGTACTGGTATATGCAGAATGAACAAAAGGAATCAGGATAGTAATTACCTGGCTATTTTAACAGACTGGTCATAGGCAAATAAGGCCTCAACTCGGCTTTTTTTATCTTTAATTTCTTTATTGGTTAAGGTATTACAAATGTGTCCTCATCCCCCCATTAACCCCCACCTCCCCCCTCTGAAGAGATCAACCAAAGGACTTGTATGCATACATATAAGCCAAAACAACGGACACAGACAACTGGGGGATGAGAGCATGAGTCAACTAGGCTTTTAATGAAATGGAGAGGATTCAGTAGGGATAGTGTGAGTTCAGTATGTCTGACCCATCATTATTATTAAAGTATAACTCTAGGACTGGTAACTGGATATGAGACTAGCTATATTTATATTTTTGTTTTCAAAAAAATATAAGGGGTGTGTGTGTGTGTGTGTGTGTGTGTGTGCTCATGCTTGTGTGAGTGAAGATTAGAAGGGGGTTGGGAAGGGAAGACAGGTGAGTGAGAAGGTGCAAGGGAAGAGAGAAGAGACAATGGACATCAGAGACAGGTTATCATTATGAATAGTGTTCTAAATGTTTGTGTCAGTTATTTATAAGCATTAATGATTCATTTTCCCAAGATGCAGCGTGATAGCGCAGGTCAGCATTTTCCAAAGATGCAGCGTGATAGCGCAGGTCAGCAAGTCTATGTAAACCAAAATGCCATGCGAACAGAATATATTTACTTTGAAATTAGCACAGCTGTGTTCCTGTTAACAAACTGAGAAGAAAACGAGTACAACATGAGCCCTTGAGGGGATGTTTTCCTCTCCTGGCGCTGCTGTTCCTTACTGTCAGCCAGGAGCAGACACCACTTTGTGTTTTCTCCTGCCCTGCCTGGTCCTGCTTTGTTCAAGACTTGCCCCACTTGGAGCTTCTGTACTAGCATATATACAGGCAGCATGAGCCTTCAGATTTCAACCCAACATTTAGTGCATTCCTGGAATGTGTAAGGCATTGGGTTTAGTGAGGAGAGAAAAACAGGACTGCCCCACAGAAACTCACAACCTCATAGTGAAGATAGACAGTAAAAGGATAACAAAACAAAATCTAAATTAGAAAGTTCTAAAAAAAAATGACAAGCAAGGAGTTGGGGCAGGGAGTGATGGCAGTGGGGTGGTGGGGGTTATTTAGAAGTAATCTCTCCTCCTTAACCAACTAAATAGAAAACTGGGAGTGACCATGTGAGACTCTTCATTCCTTTCCCACCAGATCAGGAGAGGCAAGAAAGGATCCCTTATCCCTTTTCTTCCAATTCTCTCTCTTTCCTGGTAAATGGTGGGGTGGCAGTCAGGCCTCCTATGCCAGGAGACCTACTCTGTTAGGAAAACAATGAATAGATTGGCCTCTAAAATTTGCTCATATTACTTGGATACAATTCTCCTGGTCTTTATTCTCTTCCAGTTACGAACAATTAACATTACAAACTATTCTGTTATTTTGACAATGAATGAAAATATGGTTAGAAATTTCATCCTGTGAAGATTGATCCTTACCCTTTGTGGAGAAGCTTTGAATATAAGGAAAAATGAAAGTTTATATATTTTGGTGACACCAAGAAATGAAGACTCTTCTGTTGCATGTGGGTGCTGGTCTTAAGTATTTATAATGAAAGATTTAACCCCACTAAAAAGGACATGTTCACTATATTATTTGTTCTGTAATGTGGCAGCCAAGAAAATTAATGGAGCTTAAGTTGAAAGGACAGGAGCTCTTAGAAAAAAATGCTTTAAAGCTGATTAAACACAGCTTATAGCAGTGATGATTCATTCATGTAAGCAGGTTGGTAAATATGAACTAACTCCTTGAATTCAACTTGAGGACAAAGGCTGTATTTTACTGGAAAATGATTATACCATTTTAAAGTACAATTACATTCACATGCCTATGCTTTGCATTTTAAAGGCTAGTATTGTCGGTCCTAATAGTAATTTAGTCCTAAAAGTAACTTGCTTTCTAAGTAGCAAATTATACCCACTTAACTTCTGCTGGATTTATTATAATTGGTTTCAACCATCAAAGGATTATAGCATTTCAGTCATTCATCCAGTAAACATTTGCTGAGTGTCTGCTTTGTGCCAGACATCACACTGGTGAGGAGAATGGGAATATTAATGTGACAGCCCTGCCCTTAAGCAGTCAGATGAGCCACTAGATCACAATTTAGTATAAATGTTATGGAGGTGAGAACAGGGGGTCTTGCAAATTTGTAGAAGACATGTATAACACTAAATGAATTTGAGAATGCTACTCAAAGAAATGCATTATTTTCTAAATAACAGCATTATGGAGATATAGTTCCTATACTATACAATTCATTTATTTAAAGGGTATAGGGATACATTTTTAGAAATATATATATTTTATTGATTTCAGAGAAAAAGGGAGAGGGAGAGATTGAAACATCAATGATGAGAGAGAATCATTGATAGGCTGCCTTCTGCATGGACTCTATTGGGGATCGAGCTGCAACCCTAGCATGTGCCCTGACAGGGAATCAAACTGTGACCTCCTGGTTTATAGGTCTACACTCAACCACTGAGCCACACTGCTGGGCTAGAGATTCATTCTTAAACAAGATGCTCTTTGGGCAGAATTCTCAAATATAAATGGGAGTTGACTGGTTCTTTGGGCTGGCAAGGCAGGTGTCCGTAGCATGTTCCAAAACATAGAAGTAAAAGATATCATGATACTTTGGGAAAAGCTGCTAAGGATACATGGAGGGGATGGGATAAAAATACAAGACGAGGTTGTAGGGGTTAGGTAGACTACAAATCAAGAAGGGCCTTATATGCATGTGCTATTTGGATTTAAATCTGAGACAGTGGTGGGGGCCATGCAAAGGTTTTAGGTAGAGGAGTAAGTTGATCAGATTTAGGAAGTTTTAGAAAGATCACACTGACAACAGAATGGAGAAAGCATAGAAGGTGAGCTGAGATCGAGGACAGAGCCTAGGAGCTGAGCTCTGTCACCTCCAGTGTCAACTAAGGCAAGAACATTCAGAGTTGGGATGGGGAGCTTGGGATTATTGAAATGAACTAAATGGTACCAATAGGATTCAAGGATCAATTGCATGTGGGTAAGATGAAATAGGATGACTCTCAGAATCTTATCACATAGATGGAGGCACAAGAAGACCAAGCAACAAACTGGAAATAGAGCAAGCACAGTCAATTTTGGCCAGGGGAGGTGATCCTAGTATGTTTTTAAATGAAAGAGATCTAGATAACAATGAGGGCATTTAAACAGGAGAACTAAGCTTTGGATGATTAAAATAGACATGTAAAAATGGGACTACCACCATTCCAGTAAGAAATAGTGAGTCAGATTCAAGGAAAATTTAAAAGAATTACTGTGAATACAAGGTGTAGTAGATTGAAAAATGCTTTGCTTCCCCAGAAAGATATCGGACCCTATTATAATTTGAAATCTATGAATGTTGTCTTCTTTGAATAAAGGCTCTTTACAGATATGATTAAAGT